GTATTTCGAGCCCGATGCTGGGCTCAAAACTTTATTCGAGATCTGCCTAATCCGCAGTGGTATTACGATAGACGAGGGGCTAGCTCTGTTTATTTGTTTCAAGTAATACAACTTTAATATCTGTCTGGACATTTTCATCACGTTTCATAATTTTCTAAAATTAAATTACATTATACCAGTATTTAAAGTAATATTTAGTTTTTTTATTAAATATTTCCTACCAACAAAAAAAATACCCGTGATTTTGGATAGTGGAGGAAGCTTGGTCTAAAATCTCACCACGTATCACCAGGAGGATGGGGGGAGTTAAGAAGTTGCTAAAACATCACGTGATTAATAAACGACCCTCATGTTGCATGTGCCAATATTTTTTTTTTAAATAGAATAGATCAAGGGTCATATTATGAAATCTATGTACAAGACATGTAATGCAATACAAATACACTCGCTTTATTTTTATTTAAAGTTTTCTCTATAATATAAATAATTGCATTAAAACAATTTGAATTTCAGAAAATTGAAAAGAGAAACAGACATACAGACACATAAAAGATCTAAGAACTGTGCATTTAGCGTCTATAATATCATGAAAGGTTTTTAGACATAAAAAATCCAAAATATTCAAAACACATCTCTGGTCCAGTCAATTATTTGGTTTACGTATAGATTTAAGCAAAGCGAGTTTATAGGGAAGCCAGCAATATGCGCATAAATGCATTGCAGCCGACAAATTGTATGATTCTCATGCTAAAAGCATCGTATGTGCCGCAAGCCCGAATAACTGAGGGACGCAGGTGATAAATCAATTACCTGTTCTAGTTGGCTTGAGTTAAATAATTCGAAATCTAAAATACTCACACAATTTTCTCTGGCAAAGTATTATTTCTAAAAAAACTTTAATATTTTATATTTTAGGTAGTGGTAGCCCAGTGGTAGCGCGCTTGCTTGGGAAACTAAGTGAAGCGGGTTCAAATCGCGGGTTTCGCAACTATGATAATATCATGTGCGAATCTTTTGTAACATGATTATCACTGGCCTTACGGTGAAAGAAAACTTCGTGAGGAAATTCGTATATCTACGAAAAACTAAAGATGTAGTATTCGAAAGACGTGTTAAGTTCGCCAACCCGCACTCGGCCAGTGGGATAGACTATGGGCTTAATTCTCCTCCCTCGTATTGAAGACAGGATCGTGCCCAGCAGTGGGATGTTAAAAAGAGTTAAATACATACATATATTTGGAGGCGTTTAGGAGAAGGAGGAGGATTAGGAGAAGCCCAAGCAGAAATAATATTAAAAAGGGCAATATTATGTATATTCTACGCTTTGCTTTAAAGGTGATACTTCACCGGTTCCTATTTTTTTTAACTGTTAAAGATAACGTGTAAGAGTTTTACAACGATATAACTTTGAGAACACCTCGAATATTAGGATCTAGTCTGGTCGCTTTCGGCTGAATAAGTCAGTGCTAAACAAATCATAACAACACGTTTGGTTCAGTTTGTAGTGACCATTTACGTAATTGCTGTACCGGCGGTCACGGGTTCAAGCCCCGCTGGGGACATTCATGAGCACGAATTGTTTACTACAGTCATGGGTATTTATAATTATAATATGTATGTATTTAAAAAGATATATATATATATAATATATATATTATATATATATATATATATAGTGTATCAACTATCTGGTATCCATAACATAACCTTACCATGGACCTAACACAAAGCTCGCATTTAGGGCCAATTTTGTTTTAAGTTTTCATTAATGACATTACAAACCATATTAAGCACAGTAAATGCTCTATCTTCGTAGATGATTTAAAGTTAAACAGAACAATAAACATTAGGGAAGACGTTAAAAAGAAATTAAGTCACCTTTTCTAGCTATTCAATAATGAAAAGCTCAATGCACTAACATCGGTACGAGATCTGGGTGCAATAATAGATAAGAAATTAAGTTTTGTAGAACACATCGACAAAATAACACTGCATGCCTGGAAGAAAAAAAAAATTAAAAAATTCTACGTCTGTTTTAACTTTTGTATAAATCTCTAATACGTAGTAGCCACGAATATGCATGCCCCAACTGGATTCCCTTCTATATCTATATATTAACAGAATCGAACGCGTACAACGCAGTTTTACTCGTTCTCTGGCTTATAAAGACCAAAATTGTCCCTACCGTGCAAACAATCCCAACAGATTATGCCACCTTAAACTAAACTCTTAAAATAAAAAAACTAAATATTACTTTAAATACTGGTATAATGTAATTTAATTTTAAAAAATTATGAAACGTGATGAAAATGTCCAGACAGATATTAAAGTTGTATTACTTGAAACAAATAAACAGAGCTAGCCCCTCGTCTATCGTAATACCACTGCGGATTAGGCAGATCTCGAATAAAGTTTTGAGCCCTGCATCGGGCTCGAAATACTTTGGTACGACGCCATCGCCTTCGATAACCATATTATTCCATAACTTCGTTTAATATTAAGTCTTTTACACCTTTTTTCCGAGAATTCCTCTAACATCCGTTTTTGGCTCTCTCTATAAGTTTTGTACGTATTTTAAAGTATTTTAAACTTTATTGATTAGGGAATATGCATGATTTTTTAAATCTTTTATACAATAGCTTTCATCTTTATATAATTGTAAAAAAAGTCCAGCTCAAAAAAAAATTTAGTACAAAATTTGTGAAGTGAAAACTTCTATAGGCAGGTTTGGTAGGGGAGTAAATTCATGTAAGTCGCCATCGACATGGTCACCTGACGTGTTACTATAACAACTGTTTAAACTGTTAAAATGTAACATTTTAAACTGTAAAGACGTGAGAAATGAAATGCTTGAGAATACTTTATTAATGCTAGGATATATATATATATATATATATATATATATATATATATATATACATATATATATATATATATATATATATATATATATATATATATGATCGCCACCGCCCACTCTCGATATTTGTTTCCTCTCGAGATCTATTGCATGTATAGTTCCTCATTTAATTTATACATACTGCTCTTTTTTACATCCCCAGTTCTATATTTTCAGGGGTTCACGGTCTTGTATTTTGTTTAATATATTTTTTTTATATAAATGTAGGGCCCCAGACGTCTCACACATTTTAAAAATTTTCGTCAACCCTTTCATTATTTCTTTTTATTATTATTATTATTATTTATTAGCCTTTCACACTGTAACCTTCACGCAGACTCGCGTACAGCATGATCAAGTATATAAGTGTGTAAAGTTAATAAATAATACGTTTGCATTTAACTTGGTATCGTACCATGTATACTTTTTATTCCTTTCAACACCTTGCTGTCTATGAAAAATTCTCATTGAATTATTAAAATTTCCATAATACTCGTTTGCGCATCCGACTATCAGTGAAAAAAACCAATGTGTTTAAAACACTTACTGAATTTATTTTAATCAATCAAATCTCTCAATAAATTATACAATCCTTGCCATTCAAAACTAAACTTGAAGCACCTTCACCTGTCTTATCCCATATGTAGAATAAAAAAAAGTTATTCTTTAGTTATTAATAAGATATTTCTTTTGTAATGTACATTATTATTTTTTTATATTTATTCTTGATTGAAAATCCATATATATCTTTTATATTACATAATTATTATATATATTTAAACTATGGATAAGTAAAGTCATTAAACTATACATACCTACTAATGTTCAAATATTCGCTGATAAATGCAATTTTGAAACTACAGCGCGAGCGAGTCGTGTTTGTTATGAATGCCATTCCCATATATGCTTTTGGAAGCGTTTGCTATATGAAATTCAGTATTAACTTTAACAAAGCAATCTGTTATTAAGTACTATTTGAAAGTATTTTTAATAGAATAATTTATAATACCGTGTCAGGCCACCGTTTTTTTACAAGTGTAATTTTTGAAAAGATAGTTTTATTCTTTAACAAATTTTTTTTTAAGTTTCAAATCGACAAGTCAACAGGTTGTGAAAATTAACACAGATAATTAATATAATTACTCTATTTAAAAAAACGGTGTGCGCAGTCAATATTCAAAGTTACACTAAAATCGCTTGAAGAAAGAGTGAAAAATAAAATATACGAGTATACGTCATCTTGCGTCCCTTACCTTACTTAACAAGTAGTTTAGTTTGATGCCCGCAGCATCCCACATCAATTATAATCTGCCTTGAATCCACGGCGCCAGTGACATCTATTTTGCCATCGTCTCGTACTCACAAATCTATATATTATACTAGCAGAACCCCTGGCCTCGCTCGCGCTAAAACTATTATTATTAATATTATTATTATTAATATAAAAAAAAACTAAAAAAGTATATTTCATACACACTTTCATCCCCTATAATACACCCTTATGGGATGAATTTCGAAAAATGCTAAAACACGTATTTATTTAATTATAATGAAAAGCATTATTACTAAAACTCAAGTAATTCTGATCATAAATATTTTTTGGGTTGTATTATAACGTGTTCTCCCGTGGGAATGAGATAATTTCCCGCGGTAAAAAGTAGCATATGTCACTCTCCAGCTCTCCAACTGCCTCTATATAAAAAAATCACGACAATCCGTCACTCCGTTTCGACGTGAAAGAAGAACAAACAAACACACTTACACATTTATAATATTAGTATGGATAATAAAATTCTGAGTCGAATCTTTACATTAAATATTTTTTGAAAAATCTTGGTGAAATAATAATTATTGTCGTTACAGAGGTTAAATATATGTATAGTTTATAGAATTTTTAATTTTTTGTCTGTCTGTGGCCGCATCACGGAAAAGCCACTGAAGGAATTTTAATGAAATTTGGTATCATAATAGCTTGATTTGTACTGCGGGAAAATATCTCATCTCTGAGAAATCTATATTAAAAGTTAGCTAAGTCCTCTTAATTTAATATTATGTCTAAGATAGAGATGACATTTTGATGACATTTTTTTTTCTTTTTCAGGAACTGCTCCCCTCGTGCCTTATCTTTCTACGTATGCTCGTCAATTAGGCTTCTCACCAGCAACGGTGGGGTTAATTTACACTATATTACCAATATTCGGACTCTTCGCTAAGCCGCTTTTTGGCTTCTTAGCCGATAAGTAAGTAAATTTTATTGTTATTATTCATACACATATATCTTTATTGTTTTTATGGTTTTTGTCATGTGAATAAGACGTGTTAGCACTTAATTTTTTTACTAAACTTTTATTGATTTCATTTTTAACTAACCAGCTACTATTTGACGACACGCTTGGTTCAGTTTGTAGTGACCCTACTTGCTTGCCAGCGGTCGCGGGTTCGAATCCCGCTGGGGGGACTCATTTGTGTGATGAACACGAATATTTGTACTCCAGCCATGGCTGTTGATGAAAAAAACATTTAAAAAAAGAACAAACTAAAAATTTGAATAAATACAAAAAAAAACCAAAGTAAAAACTTTGTATATTGTAACTTTGTAATTTGTATGCGACCGGGATACGAACCCAGAGAACTGTGGTTGTCAAACTTGATTTTGGCCTTTAACCACGATGCTTATGTCCTAGCGTGCGATTTAGCGACCATTCTTTGCAGTGGTATAATGCGAAACAAAACCGCATGAAAACTCGAAAACACGCGTTTTCCCAGACATAAAACTATTCTAGATCGATTTATCGCCCCGAAACCCTTTGTATACTAAATTTGATGAAAAACGTTGGAGCCGTTACCGAGATTCAGATTAAATATATACAAGAATTTCTCGTTTAAAGATATTAGATATATTTAATCTTGTGACATCATATCCAATAACGATAGTAACTCGAACCGTCTTCCACAAGATTTAGATAACGTAGATAAGTCTGTTGCCAGTTATAAAATTATATTGCAATACTGATTACTTCTTACTATACTTTGTTGGTGATGAGTGTCTAGGTCAACTCTTTAGAGTGACAGTATGATATTGCTTAAAACTATTACATATGTATTACAGTACCATTATAATGTAGATTAAGTATGAATGACGGTTTTTCCAATGACACTGGAGTAGTGTTAGTTTAAAAATTTGTTTATTTTATATAGATAGGATAGGATAGGAGAAGGACAATCATGCAAATTTGTAAATAATCATTATTTTCAGGTTCAGAGCCCAGAAAAATATCTTCTTGATGTTCATAGTCGTAACGATTTTAAGCTTCTCCACCATCTACTTCGTGCCTCAGGAAATGGACAAGATCCCCGTAGAGATGTACTGCAATAACAACTTATCGACCCTCCAAACCTGCTATCCACCCAACAAGCCAGTGGATCAATGCAAAATAGACCATATCGCCGACATGAATTCCACTATGTGCAAGGTTAGTACCTTATTAAAATTTACTAGATGCTGGTTTCAAATTAACAACATCTGTATATAGGAACGATACTTATTATTGCACGTGACTTTATTATATTATTTTATTATCATTATAAATATGAAATGATTTTATTGGTAGAATTCAGTTCTACAAATGGACGAGAAAGAATCTGTTCATCACCAATTGTTTAAGTAGTATCTAATCTAATTACTCGCTTAGGAAACCGAATGAAGCGAGTTCAAATCCCGGGTCTCGCAACTCTTAACATTTTCATGTGCGAATCATTTCCAACATGATTACCACTTGTCTTAACAGTGAAGGAAAATATCGTGAGGAAACATGCATGCCTTAGAGAACCTAGCAAGTTCTCGAAAGACCGTACTTGGCCATCGTGGTGGACTATAGCCTGATTTACCTCGTATTCAAGGGAGCCCCGTGCCCAGTAGTGGGATTTTAAAAAGGGCTGAATACACTCTTGAATGTGTTTTTGTGTGTTGTCATTTTACGTGTTTTTACTGATCCGATTTGAAAATTCCTTTTTGCATTAGATAGCCCGTTTATTGAGGAAGGCGGCTATAGGATATATATCATATAATATATCTATACATACGTATAGTAAAATTCTCACTAAGTCGAATCTGTACATTAAATATTTTTTGGAAAATCTTATTGAAATAGACATTATTATCGATACAGAGGCCGAATCTATAGTTTTTAGAATTTTTGTCTGTCTGTCTGTCTGACAGACTGTTACCGCATCACGGAAAAAGCACTGGAGGGATTTTGATGAAATTTGGTATGATGATAGCTTGTTATCCGTGTGAATATATAGGATACTTTTTATTGCGCGAAAATATCTCATATCTGAGAAATCTATACTAAACGTTAAAACGTAAGTAGGGACGAAGTACGAACCCTAGCGGAGCGAGGGTGATATATTCCATACTAACTGTTAAAACTTACCTAGAGACGAACCCGAGCGAAACAAATGTGAGCCGCTAGTTGTTAATTAAAGCTAAGTTTAAATTTCTGAAATGAAAATGCACTGTTCTCACAACAATGGTAGATATTGATGTAGAACTAAACTTTGAAACAATTGTGTTTTGCAACTTTAATCCTCTTTGTCTCGTCCTCCCACTGCTGAGGTCAGACTATTTGAATGCACCAAGGTACGAGCCATGGTCACGACACCAACAAAATGTGGGTTAACGGACTACAAATTTTTTTCGAAAGCTGAGTTTCCACACACAGGTTTCTTCATGAAGTTTTCCGATAGGGGTTTTAACCCGCTACATTTGTATTATACTCGTATTTAGTGTTTTATGTCGTATTGTTAAGTCCTAAATGAATGGCCCATCATCTTTTTTAATTTGAATGAATGAATGAATGAAATAAAGTATATTCAATTAGACTTATTACAAGTACTTTGGAATCGTCAATTTAATGTAAGCGTCAGTGTAGTGAGTCCGTTGTGTGTGTATGTATGTGCCATTTTAGTATGTAAATTAATTATCAGTTTATATTATATATTTGTTCATAAAATGTTCAATGAAAATAAAATAAGCACTTAAATGAAATTTTTGTTTTTTAGATGACCTGCAACATGACGTCGTTTGATTTGAGAAAACCTGTGTGCGAACAACCGAGTATGCCCACCTTATGCTTTAAGAATATTAACGCTAATGGATATGATGCTTTGATCAGCAATGTTTCTGTTTCCAACGAATGCATTACCATTGCGACACACACTATCGACTTGGGTCATGGTAAGTTAAAAATAATTATAATTTCAGAGTATATTTCTCACTTAATTTATAAATTACTAGCGGATTTGTCCTAGCCTTAGTTACGTTTTAACGTTTCCCACAGTAAAAAGTATCCTATACGTTGTCCCGGATAACCAGCTATCATCATACCAAATTTAATCAAAATCTGTCCAGTGGTTTTCAGTTTCCAGTGGTTACTGGGAAAAATTCTAAAAATTATAGATAATAATTACTGTTTCGATGAGATTTTCCAAATAATATTGAATGTGCAAATTCGACTCAGTTTTTTTTTATACGTACCTACAGATTTGAAAATTTATTTATAAGATAGAACAAATAAATAAAAAAATTATGTTTGTATGAAAAAATAGTTCATTTATTTCACTGTTATACACGGTTGGGTTATAATTTGTAGGGTTTTTTAAGGTATATATACCTAGTACCTACATAATTTATCTTAAATTTAGGGCTCTTGTACGAGTCTAGGTGTCGCAATGAAGATCTCAAGGAACCTTGCTATCTCGAATGTAACCATCCGACTTTATCAGCTATGACATATAAGACTGAAGTGAACATGACCTGTGTTGAACAAAGGCTGAGCTATGAAGTCTGCAACAATGATTCCTTTGCACTACTTGATTCCCTTGATACTAAGGACGAGTTAGGGAAGTGCAAGGTTGGTAGCATGGACCACTTTTTGTTAATATATATATGATAAATTATAATAACTTATAGTTAAAGGAAAAAAAATGTAATTTGAAAGGTGAACTGTCCGAATATTTTATTATTATATAATATTATAGAAAATGAACGACACCTTAAAAACTTATTTTCGTTCAAATACTAGTGACTCACGCTCGCTGCTTGGGTTCGTTCCTAGGTATGTTTTAACGGTTAGTATGGAATAATTAGACTATATATATTATATTTATTTGATGGCATGTTAGGCTCAGTTTGTAGTGAGCCTAATTGCTGTGCCAGCGGTCGCGGGTTCGAGTCCCGCTGGGGGCATTCGTGTGATGAGCAGGAATGTCTATACTCCAGTCATGGGTGTTTAAATTTATAATATGTATTTAAAGTTATATATGTGTAGTGTATCAACTATCTGATATTCATAACACAAGCCTCGTAGCTTAGAATGAAATTAGATGGTGTTGTGTGTTAATGTCCCAACATATTTATGAAAATCGACGAACTACGCCACTTGACATAGTTCGTCGATTTTCATTTTTTTTTATTTTTTACATTAAATGTTTATGTAAATTTCAATATATACTCGTACATACGTACGAAGTATCTACTAGAGACTCGAACTCGCTTCGGTCGGGTTCGTCCCTAAGTTGCTTCCCCATACAAACTCCCCATTTTCACCCCCTTAAGGGATAATTTCCGGGATAAAAACTATCCTATGTCCTTCCCGGGGTCTCAAACTATCTTCTTACCAAATTTCATCTAAATCAGTGACAAGTTTTGGAGTATATTCCATACAAACAAACAGAAAAACATATTTTTCCTCTTTATAATATTAGAATAGATTACTATTACTTTTATATGTATGTGATAAAAGCTTTGATATTAAAAATATATAGTTGAGTTTGTAAAGCCTTAAGTTTCTCTAACTTTGAACTAACGACGTCGATGTAGATAAAGTATGCAATTAAAAACGTAGTCATCTCTTTTCACTCCTTGCTCGCAATCTGTCACCGTCCTTTGTTGTTTCCGCCGGTAAAGACAGTACAAAATAAAATTTATTATTTACTAGCATTGCCCGCGGCTCCGCCCGCGTTCAGATGACCAAAAACCAAATTCTTAGGTTTTACATATTAGTATACTCTTACATTGCAGTTTTTGTATTTTTTCTCAGAAATGAGATATTCTCCCGCGATAAATAGTATCCTATATGTTGACCCGGATAACCAGCTATCACCATACCAAATTTCATCAAAATCCCTCCAGTGGTTTTTCTGTGATGCGGTAACAGACAGACAGACAGACAGACAAAAATTCTAAAAACTATAGATTCGGCCTCTGTATCGATAATAATGTCTATTTCAATAAGATTTTCCAAAAAATATTTAATGTACAGATTCGGCTTAATTACAATTTTATTATATGTATAGATATCAGCGTAAAAGGTTTTATTAACTTAAAAGTTAATCTATATGTAACACATGTAATTTATAATATTGTCGCTGTTTCTAAAAGTAAAGATTCAATAAGCCGTCATATCTAATCCCGTTCATGTGCACGTGTTATACACTTAATAATATATATAAGAGATGAGTTTGATTAATATATGTTTGTAAGTTTAAATAAAACCATCTTTGTGTCTCGAAGATTACTGTATAGTTCGCACAGACAGCCTACCCACAAAATAACAAAATGAAACTATATAACGCCTTTGAGATATCTAAAACCTTAGTCTCTCCGTGACCATGATTGCTGTAAAATATTCGAAACGTCGTGAACCAAAAATCTAAATAAATACGCGCAAAAAAATCCGATTTTTTTTAATTTTTCAAATATTCGCGTAAATCTAAGAAAGTATTATTTTTAAGTTTAAATTGTTTTTTTTTAGGTGCATTGTAACAGTGCTACGTCCGTGTCTATAATGGATTTGTGTGATATGTGGAATGCAGGAATAACCAATAACTGTGAGCTTTTAGAGGAAGACACTCTACCTAACGAGTTACAGTTTCAGGCTGCTTTAGGACTCACCCAAATGATCGTTGATCGGAATAACTGCCTTTTTATAGATGTTAAATACATCGTGTTGGAAAATGGTAAGATATATCACTACATAGTATAAAACAAAGTCGCTTTCTCTGTCCCTATATCCCTATGTATGCTTAAATCTTTAAAACAACGCAACGAATTTTGATGCGGTTCTTTTAATAGATAGAGTGATTCAAGAGGAAGGTTTTAGTATATAATTTGTTAAGTTTTTGTATACATTGGCAAAAATATAACGATATTTGTTCGAGGTGTCGACAAAAAATAAGACGTCTGGGAGCTTTCAACGAAAACGCTGCCTAAACCCTTTGAGATATATCAAAATTATGTATGGTGGATTTGTGTATCTTATATAGGTCTACAGAAAATCGCTAGATCCTAGACCTTATCTGTGTCTTGGAGCTAAGATGAAGGTCAACAGTGAGGCCATTTCTAATTAAAAAAAATATTATATGTAGCTACTATATAATATGTATTATAGTCTTCGACTGGTTGACTTTAAAAATGGAGGTTGTTTATTGTGTGCTGTTTTTTTTTCGGTTCATTTAGAATCGATTTTAATGAGTTTTTTAAGAAACTGACCGATAGATTTTAATATTCATTTTCAAACCCAAGTGTACTATTTTAGTTACAATGTAAATAATGCAATATTTGTCTAAGCGAAATGGTATCAAAATATAATAAGCTACTTAATGAATGATTTTGGAACACATAGAGAGCGAACATTTTTTCGGACCCGAAACCAAACAAACTCACCAAATTTTCATCACAACGTACGAATATTCATTTTTATTTATCTATACAGATAATTAAAATTGAAGTGTATGTTTGTAATGTCTAAATAATAGCTTTTTAGTAAATGCATATGGAATTATATACGGCACTTATAAGAAAAACATATTTTTTTAAATTTTGCACTGTTTGTTCCGGCTAATCTCCGAAACGGCTGTACTAATTTTGACGGTACTTTCACTGGTATATAGCTGATGTTATGAGGAGTAGCTTAGGTTACTTTTATTTTAAAAAAGAATTAGAGTTAGAGTCCCGCTCAAAAATAGTATTAATATAAGATAAGAGGATTCATGTAACTAATTTGACAACAGGTACAATCGTCCACCCAACATGTGGTCCGACTGACTACCACGAACGCCGGCCACATCTGTACCAACCGCAGTGCATCATCAATTGCGACGATTCTATGGTAAGTTTAGATTTTTTTTACAGAAATTATACTTATTAATTCATTGTCATTGCTGCTGTATGTATGGTTTAGGTAAAATCTATCGTAAAAAATGTAGAATCCTAATAACAGCGGAAGAAAAGTTACATACGATTTGGCCTAACCCACGAATGTATTTAAAAATATTTAAAATACAATAATGGCCTAACCAAGGCAGCAGTAGCCCAGTAACGCGCTCGCTTTTGGAAACTGAGTGAAGCGGGTTCAAATCCCGGGTCTCGCACGTCTAATATTTTCATGTGCAAATCATTTCTAATATGATTACAACTTGTCTTACGGTGGAGGAAAACATCGTGAGAAAACCTGCATGTCTGAGAGAGCCTAGCAAGTTTTCGAAAGATATGTGAAGTCCGCCAACCCGCACTTGGCCAGCGTGGTGGACTATGGCCTGATCCCCTCGTATTGAAGGGAGGCCCACCCCCAGCTGTAGGACGTCAAAAAGGGCTGAATACAATGGCCTAACCCACATTTTTTTAAACTACATAGTTATAAATGTCTGTAACAAATTAAGTTTAAAAGAAAATAAGCTACAAACGCAAAAAACACTTTTGAAACTCAAGTAAACGCTAAACGAAGAACTATAAAAAAAGTTTTAAAATATATGGAAATATTTAACAGCCATTTTCTCCCAAAGTAGCTGTCAGTAGCCACTTTTGCGCTGACTGCCTCAATTATATGAAGAACACAAACTAAACAAAACATGAGAAAGAAAATAAGCTAGATAAATATTTATTATTTCTTGTTACAATTCTTAATACTTTTTTAACGAGATCTTACAAGCATTAAGTATAATAAATCTGTTTATTTTTCTATATTTAGTAATACACAGCCAATTAAAATATTATTTTTACATAATAATCATCTGCGCGTTCCGTCTTAATCTTTTATTTCTTTCTTTTTTTTTAGATTATTTATAACTGAAATTATTAGATGAAATTTGTTTTTAGAGCGTTGAATTTTATATGGACGTACAACGTCGACCAAAATAGTACTAGATACACAATCCCATGCAAAAGTTCTCTTAAAACTGTCACCGATTGTGTTTAAGTAATTATTCTAGTTGAAATAAATATACAACAATGTAAATTGAACCTTAAATGCAATGCTTAAAGTTGTTTTCACAAAAATAATTAAAAGCGCGCTCAAATTTTCAAATGAGCGCTCATTAGGTGAGGACATTTTTGTCGCTGATTGTTTCTTGTACTTTTTTCACAGGCAATAAGTGTTATTTCAAATGCGAATCGTACAATCGTATTATTTATATTGTTGTTGTGTATTTACATACTCGTATGTGTAAAATTAATTATTTTTAAACCTCACGTCGGTCTTTTCCTATACTTATTTTTTACTAGCGACTCGCCCTCGCTTCGCTTGGATCTTTTTCAAAGTGATCACGTTGAAAAAAAAGGGGACAGAGGGACAGACGGACGGACGGATGGACGGACGGACAGACAGACAGACATACAAACGGACAGACAGACAGACAAACGGACAGACAGACAGACAGACAGACAGACAGACAAACGGACAGACAGACAGACAAACGGACAGACAGATAGACGGACAACATAGTGATTATATAAAGTTTTTTTTTACTATTAAGATACGGAACCCTAAAAATAGACGTATTGGAGCTAGAACTATAACGATGTTCTCTCGCGAGGTTTTCGAATCGAATGTAATTGCTTGGGCGATTCTGACAATGCTGTCAGACCGCAGACTTACATAGTATTGCTACGGTGCTTCACATCAGCTATGTGTTCCTTGAACCGGGTTCTAATAGATCTCTTTGTTTGTCCGATGTATGTAAGATTCCACAATTACAATCAAGCATGTAGCACTCAACTAGGCATTGACAGTCCAGTGGTAACGCGCTCGCTTGGGAAACCGAGTGAAGCGGGTTCAAATCCCGGTTGTCGCACCTCTTATATTTTCATGTGCGAATCATTTCTAACATGATTACCACTTGCCTTACGGTTAAGAAAAACAGTATCGTGAGGAAACCTGCATGTCTGAGAGAACCTAGCAAGTTTTGATAAGACATGTGAAGTCCGCCAACTGGCATTTGACCAGCATAGTGGACTATGGCCTGATCTCCTCGTATTGAAGGGAGGCCCGTGCCCAGCAGTGGGACGTTAAGAAGGGCTGTATACATACATACATGTAGCACTCCTGCATCTTGTAGAGGGATGTATGTGATCAAGTTATATGACTATAAATTTCTAAACATTGTATTGTGTTTCGAATTTTTCAAATGATAAACGAGTAGGATGCCTCCTTTACCTTTTGTAGTCAAAATTTTCTCAACGAAAGTTACTTTGCAGAATAGACGTCTAAGTAAAATTAACTTTGTTTTCCATAATATATTAAAAAAATTCTATGAAATATGAAGATACACGTACTTTTCCGATCGATAAGTTTGTATTATATTAAAAGATTCACAAAAATTAGCATTATTGGTTAAATGATAGCGATACAAACATTTTCATTAATTGAAAATTGTTTCAGTTAACAAAATATTACTAATATATAAGGCCGAATAATTTGTTTTTGCCGCGGGCAGTACTAGTTATTCAAATTAATCATTTTAAAAATACATGGTGATATTTGTTGACAAATATCTTAATAGCACATAAATAAATAAAAACGTGTGTGTGTGTGTGTGTGTGTGTGTGTGTGTGTGTGTGTGTGTGTGTGTGTGTGTGTGTGTGTGTGTGTGTGTGTGTGTGTGCGCGTGCGCGTGCGCGTGCGCGTGCGTGTGCGTGTGTGTGTGTGTGTATGTACGCGTACGCACGTATGAAGTTATACTTTTTTGGCGTAACAGAATAAAAATAGCTAAAGATTTTATCCTGTCTGTCACAACTCTCTGTTTGTAAAAGGAATGATAAATAAATAAAAATAAATATAATTTTTGTATCTCTACTGATAAAAAATATAAAACACATGTTATATATTTATGAATATTTGAGAAATTACTTTGAATATGCTCGTAGTTATGAATTTCACGGGAACGGGAAAGACAGTTTATATAATGTAGGTACCTTCATCATGTCGCTTTTTGGCTGTCGGTGTGCGCGCGCATCGTAAACATTTTACTCTGATATTTTTTTCCAAACGTGCCGAAGGAAGAATAACGTTCAAAATTTTGCAGTAAATGTAACGAATTAAATTTCGCCTATTGTTATAGTGTTTTTATGAAAAGCTAATTTATAATTATTTTTTGTATTATTTTGTAAATTACCTTGCTAAAATGTCTATAGTTTCAGTGTGGTTTTATTCCAACCAGTTTTTGTATTTTTTCTCAAAAGTAAGATATTTTCCTAAATTATCCTATAAGTTGACCCGGACATCCAGTTGTCATCATACAAAAATCCCTTCAGTGGTTTTTACGTCATACGGTCATAGACAGACAGACAAAAATTCTAAGAACTATATATTCGACTTCTATATCCATAATAATGTCTATTCAATAAAACTTTCCAAAAAAATATTTAATGTAGAGATTCGGCTTAGTTATAATTTTATTATACATATGTATAGATAAGAATTTTATTATATCTAGACATAGATATAGATTTGTCCTGTTATAAAGTCACGTGTTTGCTCTCACTGGAAAACAATCTGATATTGTTATTGGAAATCAAAATTGAGCAACAATACCTCGAACGTAGACTGATCGATAATCATCTAGGATATCTTTTTGAGTCCTAAGGGACTTTTTTTATATACGAGTATTTATACTAGCATTGCCCGCGGCTCCGCCCGCGTTCAGATGACCAAAAACCAAATTCTTAGGTTTAAATATTAGTATACTCTTACAATGCAGTTTTTGTATTTTTTCTCAGAAATGAGATATTTTCCCGCGGTAAAAAGTATCCTTTATGTTGACCGGGATAACCAGCTATCATAATACCAAATTTTGTGGTTTTCTCGAAATTCTAAAAACTATAGATTCGAACTCTGTATCAATAATAATGTCTATTTCAATAAGATTTTCTAAAAACATATTTAATGTACACTTGTACAGATTCGACTTAGTTACAATTTTATTATATCTATAGGTTTTATAATAATACTAGCGAAGTATTACTAGTGAAAATTTAAGTTTGTATACATTTTAATGCCGAATCATAAAAAAAAAAAAAATTTTTTTGTCCAAAAATTAAAAAAAAAACTTTTTGGGGTGGACCACCCTTATCACTTAGGGGTATGAAAAAGAGTTCACGTCATATTCTCAGACCTACTGAATATACACACAACATTTCATAAGAATCGGTCAAATCGTTTCGGAGGAGTTTTGTTACAAACTCTGTGACACGAGAATTTTATGTATTAGAGATTTTGGGTGATAATACATACTATACTTTTTTTTTTCAAATTGTCTCTATATTTAAGTACTTTTGTCTATTTATCTAAGACAATTACGTGTTTTTAATAAAAAATATATGAATATTGTTTTATATTATTTTGTTACTTTTTAATTTGATCCATTTTAAAATAGTTGGCTAAGCTTTTTGTTTATTGATTGATCTTGATATGTAAAAGGGAAGGTACTCGTACAACGGCAAGGTCAGCCCGCGTCTTTGTACTATACGGCCTATTGAAACAAACCTGCCATGTTTTTAATTGAACCGGCGGAAATTCAATGAATCGGCCCATTGAAACCCGTTCAGTACTTGACGAGTGACGGGCACTGAAACAAAATTTCAAAAATCAGAAAAAAAAAACTCTTGCTTCGCACAAAAATTTCCAAGCAATATGCAATGCATCATACAAATAATATCAATCTCTATTCTATTACATACATCAGCGAGTTGGTCTACGTATATGTACTTTAGTACCTATTTTATATTGAGTATCAATGAATGCATCACAAATTGGATAATTTGTTAAGTTTAATATATTTTCTATTTTCAGCATATTGTAAGTTAATGGTAATGTAATGTAAATATGACATGATATGATACAATCGTATAAATTGCAGAGACACATTTATCTATATAGATAAATAAAATTGAAATGTCTGTTTGTAATGTTAAATAATAGCTTTTTACTAAATGCATATGAAATTATATGCTACTTATAAGAAAAACATATTTTTTAACATTTTTGTATGTCTGTTTATTGTTGTTGGTCTGCTGGACAGATTTTGACAGGGTTTTCACTGGCAGATAGCTGATGTTATAAAGAGTAACTTAGGCTACTTTTACTTTAGAAAAAGGTGCCTAAATTACTATTTGTAAGCTTATTTTTTTAGAAACGTAAATCTAGTGTACACATATGCAGGCCATTATGTAAATATAAATATTTGTACTTATAAGTATATTACGAAATTTATTAATATACAAAAAGACGTATAACAAACCATTTCTGTTTAGGTGAATGAGATCTTTAAAGCGGCCATTGAAGACACTGAGGAGGAAACGCAATACAATTTAATATTTTGGATGTTTTTTATATCGATGATTGTAAGTTGGATCGGACAAGCCGTCGTGGTCACGTTTGCTGACGCGATATGCTTTAACATTCTCGGTAAGTCAATTCTATTTTTCTTATACTTGTGACAATACCTTTGGCTCAGTTTGTAGTGACCCTACTTGTGCCAGCGGTCGCGGGTTCGAGTCCCGCTGGGGGCATTCATTTGTATGATGAGCACAAATTTTTGTACTCCAGTCATGGGTGTTTATATTTATAATACGTATGTATTTAAAGTTATATATGTGTAGTATATCAACTATCTGGTATAACACAAGCCTCGTAGCTTACCATGGAAAATAGGGTTCCGTTGGCGCCCTTCGGGTACGGAAACCTTCGTGTGCGAATTCGACTCGCACTTGACCCATTTTTTTATATCATTTAGGTATACATTATTTTTATACTCACACATAATTTAAAAGAAATTTTCAACGTGTATATTGTATGTATTTAAAATGCGTGTAGAACCGTTTTGGACCGTAACGCTTTGGAAGTCGATCTTTGATATAGCTGTCAAATGTAGTCCCATGTAAAGTTCCGAACTGTATTTAGATAATATGTAAGAGTAGAAATGTTCAGTAGTTATATAACTTTACGTCTTAAATCTATAAAGAAAATATGGCTGAAATTTGTAATATATCAATATTTTATTTATTATTGACCGATTAGAAGAGAAGGCCTTTAAGTACTTGTTATTTTTTAGTATAATTTTCTTATGACAAGTGGTCATGAGATTTTTCCCATAATTCTTTTGTTAAATTAATACCACACAAAGTGGAACAAGAAACATATCAGTGATTTGAAATCTTTTTGTTTTTTCTTCGTTACAAAAATCTATCTATACATTCTTATATCTATACATATTATAAAATTTTGAGTGGGTTCTGCATATTAAATATTTTTTGGAAAATTATATTGAAATAATCATTCTTTCTGTCTGTCTGTCTGATAGTCTGGGAACGCATCACGAAAAAACCACTAGACAGATTTTGATGTATAATAAATAGCTGGTTATCCTGGACAACATATAGGAAAATATCTCATCTCTGAGAAATCTATACTAAACGTTAAACCATAACTCGGGACATAGTTGATCGAGCTCGAGTCGCTAGCTTAAATATATAAAAACATTACTCACCCACTTCCAAAATCATTATAAAAACAAAAAAAATAAACTGTCCAAATAAAGTAATTGGCGGTATGATGAAGTAGAATTTTCCCGATTCATTTTTAATCAATTAATTAAAATCATTTAATGCTAATTAGTTTATTTATAAAATAAAATATCTTAAATTTAACTCAAAATTGTTTTAAAATTTATCCATTACCGTGTTGATGAGATGAACCACTGAATAAAGCTGTAGTTTATGAAATTTTGTTTATATTTCTATGTAGGTACCTTATATTATTTTTGAAGCGGCAGACTTATAATAATGTCCTTCTGACTATTTTTGATATATGACCGATTCCGGCTATGGCTGCCCAGTCTCACTGAGATTAGCCAGATACGCAGGAGATATTATAGTGCAGCGCGTGTACGCGCAGACACAACGTGCACTCTCTATTCCTGTCACTCTCATACTCCGCTGGGACATATTTCGATACGACCGGTTAGAATTAAGGCGTAGGACCGACGGCTTTACCTGCATTACTAGACACGAGGGTGCAACACGCAGGACACCAGGGCTTCTACTGAGAATATCTTAACAGAAAATCTCAGTAATCAAACTTGGCCCGACCCGGAACTCAAACCCAGGACCTCAGTATCTGCAATCCTACATGCTAGTCATCAAACTACCTAGGCAGCGTCAAACTTTAAAGTCATTACTTTCCTTTTTCCTATTGGACAAGGTTCTCAGAATTTTCATTTCATTTTACTTAATGAAATACAGACTCCGATATATTCGAGCTACAGTTATAAAATATATTTAGGTACCTAATGAATTCCAATATAAGGTTTACTGCACATTAAATTTTTAACCGACGAAAAAAAAAAGGATGGCGTTCTCAATTCGACCCGTATATTTTTTTTACGGTGTAGTCCGGTTTCGATGATTCTTCTTTTATTGAATAGGGTTTACGTCAAAGTTACTCCCATTTGAATTTAAAACTTATAACACAGTACCTAGTTCCATGGTAAGCTACAAAGCTTGTGTTATGGATCCCAGAAAGTTGATACAATACACGTATATAACTTTAAACACATACATATTATAAATATGAACACCCGTGACTGGAGTACAAGTATTCATGCTCATCACACAAATGAATGCCCCCAGCGGGACTCGAACCCGCGAACGCCGGCAGAGAAAGTAGGGTCACTACAAACTGAGCCAAACGTGTCGTCATTACATATATTTTCGAATTCAGTGTACTTTGATTTGTATCATATAATTCGTTTTTTGTAGTCGTTTTGTTTTAGATTTTATGTCTGTACATTGTATATATTATGTACGTATATTTAATTGAAATTACTACACTGCAGTGGTTGGTTCACATGATTTCTTCATTTCAGTCCAAGTAATATTGTTATTGTGTGAAGGAGCCAGCGTCTTATTTAACCTAATCATTTTGAACTAAATTAAATTCCTAATAATAATAATAGTTTCCAATACTTCATTGGAGCTACGAGCGTAGCGACTCAATAAAGACTTGAGAAAGCAGTAGTGAAGCTTTACAGTTTTTTAAAAGAAATTTGTCTTTGATCATTTTTGTACTGCTAATATATCTTAATTAGTTTTTTAAATCACTCTAATTAAAAAAATAATAATTAGTTTAATTGGCAGTGGTAGCTCAGTGGTAATGTGCTCGCTTGAGGGACCAAGTGTAACAGTGTAGGGTCTCGGGTATCATACCTTCGATATCTTCATGTGCATCATCTGCTGGGCAATCATTTTGAATGATTGCCCAGCAGTGGGACATTAAAAAGGGCTGAAAACAATCAGATTCATTGAATATAGGATGTTTTATTTTGACGAAGAAAAGACCGTCAGTCAGCGTTATAATATCCGATACAGGCGCATTAGACAACGTTTAAGTTGGTAGCACGTTCATTAAATATTAAATTTTTTAACTATTTATAAAATTACCCGTAGTAATGCTACGCTACCTCCCTTACTTTTGGTCTATATTTATACCCTACCCTATAGTAGAACAGCTACATATAATAATATTGCTTTTATCATCTATCGCCTACTATTCGTGGCCTGTTATATTTTTATGTTTGCCGGAAACAGTCACCAAAATTTCCTCCTCAAAAAATTTAGAGAAAGAAAACTTTTCATAAATTTTAAAAATACCATGAATTCACAAAAACACGTTTTTTTAAATGAAATTGTTTCATGGTGAGTATTTTTTAAATGTAAGAGTATTTATAATAATATTTCTTTACAGGTTGTCGTGCATCTCTTTACGGCAGACAAAGGTTGTGGGGATCATTCGGCTTTGGGTGCATTTCTTTATTAACTGGTTTTCTAATAGATACATTTAGTGAGGGAGCATATAAGAATTATACCATTGCTTTTATTTTAATGCTGATATTTTTGAGTGGTGACTTTATTGTATCGTCATTTATGAAGGTGCGTATTGTTTTATGATAAATTCTTCTGCAAAAAAAACGGATACTTTAGATTTTTATTTTCTCTATCTTAAATGAATATTACAAGAAAGAGTTTTTTATTAATTTGACGATGTAATTTAGCATGTTATTTAAAGTATCCTGGCATGAAAGCTTACGTTCTGTAATTTTTTTAATTAACAAAATAATACTAATGGCGCGAATGATTATTAATAAAATTTTAAAACTTTTTCTTCAAAAATACGACCCCATTTATGTGTTTCATGGTATGGAAAGTTTGATGAAAAATCTATAGAATTTTTATTGATGGGTAATTGAAGATTGTAATGTGTTTTAAACTCAACAATGTAATATTTCTATAGTTTTGTAGAAAATAATAAATGCATGGAATAAAAGTTAATTGTATATGATGTTTTGATTATTGAGATTCTAATAATATATTATTAATACAAAAATATGTAGGTCAATATTGTTATCTTTGTACAATATACAAAATTTAATACAAATGGAACTTGTAACTGCAAATATTATTAAGTCTTTTGAAACGTCTCTTATAATGTTGCTCATTTTTAGGTTGAACAATCTCAAATGTCAATAAATATAATGGCCGATGTGGGGACCATGCTGTCGTCTTATGCTAATATCTTATTTCTGTTATGGACCGTTGCCGTGGGACTTTGCACGGGTCTTATCTGGCAATTTTTATTCTGGCACATTGAAGATATTGCCAATCTGACGTGTGACGGAACGGAATATGTTAAAACTCTTCAAGGGTTAGTTAGTGCTATACAGACATTTGGGGGCGAAATACCATTTATGTTTATTTCCGGTAAGTTTTTTTTTCACTTATTTTTAATATATTTAAGCGAGCAATTCTTGTGTATATACATATATAATCTGAATCTCGGAAACGGCTCCAACGGTTTTCATGAAACTTAGAATACAGGGGGTTTCGGGGGCGACAAATCGATCTAGATTAGTTTTATGTCTGGGAAACCCCGTGGTTTCGAGTTTTTATGCGGTTTTGTTTCACATTATTCCACGCAAAATATTGTCGCTAATTTGCACGCTAGGACATAAGCATCGTGGTCAAGCGGCCAAGGCGAGAGTTTGACAATCACAGGTGTCTGAGTTCGTATCCCGGTCTGATACAAAGTTTTTACTTTTGTTTTTTTTTGTATTTATTAAAATTTTCAGTTTGTATTTTTTTATATTTTCTGGTCAAAAACTCCGAGCGCAGCTCGGTCGCCCAGGTTCCTTTGTTTTAAATGTAATAGATTTATTACAATATACTGAAATCTATAGTTATACTTATCTATACTAATATTATAAAGAGGCAGAGTTGGTTTGTTTAAACGTGCTTATCTCAGGAACTACTTATTCGTTTTTGGTGTATTATATACCCATTTACTTAGTGTGTTATATATCATCATACTACAACACAAGGAAGCGGAGCAGTAATATAAAATATAGTCTATCTATTCCATACTACGAGCGAAGCGGGGGTGAGCCGCTATTTATGTTAATATAAAAAATGCGGGAAATTATGAAAAAACTGTTTGTTAGTTTTCATTGTAACGGCTCAATGAATTGAATCAAATATGTACCTACATTTTGTCGCGAGTGGGGCTGCGGGGCATAACTAGTAGATGAAATGGTGATATATTTTATCAGCATAGTGGTCAGTTGTCAATGGTATTGTCGGTGTCAGGTTTGATTCTTGTACGCTATTGTGATAAAATATAAGCAGAAAACTGCTCGAATTCTATCGCGTAGTTCTTTTTGCCTGCCTAAAACCGCATCAAAATCGGTCCATTCGTTTACGAGCTACGATGCCTTAAGACACACAGATACACATTCAGACACGTCAAACTTATAACACCCCTCTTTTCGCGTCGAGGATTCAAAATAAAATAGCTTTTATATGATTAAAGCATATTTATTAGTCCTTTATTAAAACGTAGACTAATGCCCGATTTCACCAACATCCCATCAGCTACCACCTACGTATGGGATCCCATGCTTAAAAGTTCCCCTAAACTAGCCCCTAAATTAAATTTCGTTTTACTATCGTCAGAGCCCGTATTGGTAGTTAGTAGTATCTATGTTTAAGTGGCATTTTAACATTTAGGTGACCCCTAACTGTCGGTGAAACAGAAACTGTCCCCTAACAGCCGCCTAACCATGCTTAGGGGATCCCTTAAACTTAGGTGACGTTGGTGAATTCGGCCATAAGACGCATATACTTTTTTTTTTATTTTCCATTTACGACTGAAAGCTTTGTAAATATTTAATTAGTGTTTTTGTTAAGTGTAAGAGTTGACTGTGATTAAATTGTTGTTTTATTTTGTTCAACCTTGGTTTATGCTTCAATTTATTCTAGCGACTCACCCTCGCTTCCCAATATAAATTTTCATCCCCATTTTAACACCCTTAAGGTATGATTTCCGGGTAAAAAAGTATCCTATGTCCTTCCCAGGGTCACTAACTATCTTTTTACCAAATTTCATATAAATTGGTTCAGTAGATCCAGAGATTACCTCCTACAACGTCACAAACTTACAAACTTTACCTCTTTATAATATTAGTATAAATATTACTTGGAGTAACTAGAGTAATCACCTAAAGACACAACCGAGCGAGGCGAGAATAAGTTACTAGTATGAAAACACTTTTCCTTATAATTATTCAAATATCTTAAATGTTGTTTAAGTTGTTATTTAAAGTATTGTCAACCACGTAATATCAGGATCGTGAATGACATTGAGTTCAAATCGGTTTACGGTGCTAACGATGTTTATTATTAGTCCGCCTTGCCACATTAAGTTAGTCCAGTCAATAGGTGAATCAATCTATATAAAATAAAACAACTTCCGCGATAGCGCCATTCGATAACAGGGCAATTTCTAAGCCTAAAGCCCAGTTTGAGATATCGCTCGAGATACGCTGCCGCTGCTATCGCGAAAAACGCGAGCTATTCAATATCTCCAGAACGGCTCATCCTATGTAAAATACTATATAAATCTGTTCTCTTTCAAATTTTTTGTTTTTATTAAAAACTTTTTTTTTAAATTAATATTTCTCGAGATGTCGCGCTCGAAACGTACATTCGCTACCTTATATTTTGCTATGGCGAAAATCCGATGAATGTAGCGAGTGTATTGGGTATTGCTTTATTTTATGTACATTTCGCCGTTTTTTTTTTCTATATTGACTGGACTAAGTTAGCGACTAAAAAATACTAGTCCGAAAGCTTATTTTTTCTTAATATTAACCATATTATCCATTCAAAGTCCATTGCTTAAATTCCTCCTCCCTTAAAGACCTCCGCCTATGGAAGACATCCATACTAATATTATAAATATGAAAGTGTGTTTCTTTGTTTGTTTGTCCTTCTTTCACGTCGAAACAGAGCGACAGATTAACGTGATTTTTTGTGTGGAGATGTGGCTGAAGACTGACATAGGCTACTTTTTATCGCGGGAGATAATCTAATTCCCGTGGGAAAACACGTTATAATACAATCCAAAAAAAAATGTGGTCAGAATTACTTAATACTTGGTATTGATGGTGTCTGCTAGTAGTATTATATTGTAGTCTTGTAGATCAAAACCACTTAGATTAATTAATTGAGCAATATTAATGGTGTACTACGTTTACGCTTACGCTATTTAACAGTGAATTGCAATACACTATCTATCTATAACTATCATAAATAGACATCCTAATATTACAAATGTGAAATTTCGCACTTACCATTACCAATATACCTATATATATATATATATATATATATATATATATATATATATAGATATATATATATATAGATATATATATATATATATATATATATAGATATATATATATATATATATATATATATATATATATATATAATAGGGAAACTCCTCGAGAAAATGTTACTAAAAATAATGCAAGTACACCTAAGTGACATCACCCCAAATCACCAATTTGGATTCCGGGAGAGCCACGGAACGATCGAGCAAATTCACCGCATCGTTGACGTTATAAGCAGATCGTTAGAAGAAAAAAAATATTGTTCAGCAGTCTTTTTGGATATAAGCCAGGCTTTTGACAAAGTGTGGCACGAGGGCCTATTGTACAAAGTCAAAAAGATTCTACCACACTCGTTTTACCACATAATAAAGTCTTATCTCAGCAAGCGATGTCTTGAAGTAAAGTTCCACGATAAACTTTCCGACTTATATGAGATCAAGTCAGGAGTGCCACAGGGAAGTATACTAGGACCATTGCTCTACACCATATATACTGCTGACATACCAACAGTAGAAAAGACTACGGTTGCAACATATACCGACGATACAGCCATACTTTCTACACACTCGAACCCAGTAACCGCATCAGAACATCTACAACACCACATTGATAAAATTGAAGAATGGCTTAAAATATGGCGAATACACGCTAATCAAAGTAAATCAACACATGTGACCTTTACTCTCAGGAGAGACGCGTGTCCGCCGGTTATACTTAATAACGAAGAAATCCCGCAAGACGACAATGTTAATACTTGGGCATGCACTTAGATAGTAGGCTGACATGGCAAAAACACATATGGACAAAGCGGAAGCAACTAGATTTAAAACTACGTAGTATGTACTGGTTAATAGGATGAAACTCACAAATAAGCACACACAGCAAGTTGGCAGTATATAAAGCCATCTTGAAACCAGCCAGCAATAGTAACATAGAGGTACTGGAACGATTTCAAACCAAAACACTGAGGCCCATATTCAAGCATCCCTTAATAAATCAGTAATAAGTACATATATCTTGACTTAAATGTACCAACTGTCAAACAGGAGATAGCGAAATATAGCATCAACTACCAGAAAAGACTCTCAAATCACAAAAATGAGCTTGCCCTCAGACTCAGCGGAGATCAAGGACTTCAACATAGAAGATTAAAGAGACATAGTGTTCCAACCCTACAAGATAGATTCAACAGTATGAAATGAGACACCTACTTGAAAAGTGTTTCACCAAGCTATAAAGCCTAAACAGATACATGTATCAGACAAAGCAGTGGCTTATTGTTGTGTCTAACAGATTGCCGCGGTGCAGAAAAGTTAAAAAAAATACATACATATTATAAATATAAATACCCATGAATAACATAGTCTTCAGGTTATTAAACCGTTTGTACGATCTAAAATGTATTAAAGTACGAATTTCGATCCTTTCTCATTATCATCAAAATCTATCTACGTAAAAGAAACCCTACGTAAAAATCCCAACTTCTGACCTCGCAACGTAAAAAACCTTCTCAAGATCAAAAACTTCTATCGTATGCAAGTCATTATAATTTTCTTTTTCAGCGTCATTTATCTCACGCACTCTGTCTTTCTTTTTTACGTGTTTTTCATAGCGACTTTGCATTATAATCTTTGTTTCTTCGTCTGCTTGTGCATAACGTGTGAATACTGAGCATAAATCGTTCATGGGTTTGAAGAAAGTATAATTAAACATGATATTAAAAATTCTCCTATATTGTCGTGCGCTCGCTATTTGACAATCCAAAATTTCATTAGCAAACCATTGTTTGTATTGGTAGCGGTACATTTTGAGTCTTATCTCAAGAAGGGTTGATGTCAGGCAGGTCGTAAAACTTTTGCCAAATCCTATCAGCAGTACAGAAGATGTACTGCGCCGACCCCAAGTGATTGGGGAATGGGCAGGGAGATGATGATGATGATGATGATGATAACGAGTTTTTTCGTACATAATGCGCTTCTATAGTTGGGAATAAGGTAAAAAAGGTGAAAAAATAGTAGGGAGGTAGGTTACATACTTATAGCACTGTTTATTGAAAATCAATCGACATATTTTTATTTCATGGAAGAAAATCGTAAATATTATAATTAGTGAACATTTACAATATTTGTACAGAAATGTTTATTGTGAATTGTGAATATGCAAAGTTTATTTCGGGGAACAAAGCCGCAATGGCCTCTTATTGTAGGACGTTGAAATTTTTATCATTTCACACTGTTTTCATTATTAAATTTGTCAAAAAAACAAGGTGTATAGGTTCCGATTTTTTTTAAATTCATCCTATAAGAGAGTTAAATTGGAAATGAAAGTTTGTATGAAACCTACCTTTTTAGAGTTCTTTTTTTGTAGTTTTAGCGCGATCGAGACGAGCTAGTTTCAGATAATTTAACACGCACAGACAATTTAAATAAACTCGGATGATTAGACAATGGTGAAAATATATTTTCTCAATCTTACTGGAAAAAGATAGGGTTTTTGCAAAAACACGAGTCTCTTTAGCTGTAGTCGTTTACTACGGCACTATGGCGTTGTGGTCACTGTTGTAACATAACCAACCTAGAAAGAGAGAAAGGTTTCTTCCGAGTAAAACGTAGCTCCTTTTTTTAACGTTGGGAAATGCATTTACGCACGAGGTGTGAGACTCACCGGCAAAGCCAGTACTACCCACTAAAACCCAACAAAAACTTCCCCTGTTTAATGGGGCGTCGCAGGATCGCTTACACATTCGACTACGACGCCCTGACGGCAGGTCTGCCGAAACAGACCACAACAACCACGGGGTTGCTCCAAGGTCCACTCTGCTTTCAGAAAAGTACCAGGGGCAACCCGCATGGTACACCGCCGACAGAAGAGGGCCACCTCCCACCGCCCACCGAAGTGGGCCACCTCCCTGTGCGTTTCTTGGCTTCGCGTAAGACGTAGCTCCTGCCTTAGCCTTCTCAAACTACATTATTATTTATATACGAGTATAGGCTTCTAATAGAGAAATCTATTAGTGAAAAATTGAGAAATGTTTTCACCATTGTCTAATTATCCGTGTTTTCCCAATAACACTAGGATTTTCGCGAAAATCCAAATTTCAAATGATCCTACGACGTATATAAACATATATCTAAGAAAGATAAGAAACACTTCAGATAGGTAAGTTATTGAAACGTAACTCGTTTACTACATAACCATAAATCTAAAAGGCTAGGATAACGAAATTGTAATAGTTTAATGTGTACAATCAATAAAAAATGTTTTTGGTAATTTAGATTTTAAAGTATGAAAGTGGTTCGTTTTTAATAAATAAATATAATAAATATATTGGGACATTAACAAACAGCACCATCTAGTTCCTTGGTAAGCGACGAGGCTTGTGTTATGGATACCAGATAGTTGATACACTACACATATATAACTTTAAATAGATACGTATTATAAATATAAATATTATGACTGGAGTACAAACATTCTTGCTCATCACACAAATGAATGACCCCAGCGGGACTCGAACTCGCGACCGCTGCCACAGCAAATAGTGTCACAAATATAGCCTGTATAGAAATTGAACCAAACGTGTCGTCAAATATAATTTGCCTATGTTGGTTCACGCGAACAAAGTCGCGGCTAGAGTAAGTTAATAAAAAAATAATTAACTTGCTCAGGCTATGAAATAATATAGACAGTATATACAACTACACATGAAGGCCAACGATAATATCTAAATACATATATACAAATGCCAATTTTTATACGTAAGTGAATTGTGATAAGTAAATAAATAAATATATAATAAAAATAGCTAATGGAAAATCCATTTAGTTATACCTAATTAAGATAAAAAAATACGGTCATATTATTCTGTCTTTCTTTCAAGGGGAAGAGAACGAGTGCTTAAAAAACAAATATATATATATATATATATTTTAGGGTGTGCCAAAAAATGACGATGTTTTTTTTTCTTCGCTTTCACCCCAAAATATCTCAGAAAATGTCCCATTTATTGATGATATGAAGAAGTTGACAAATACTTTTTTATAGGATTTTAAACGCACTACAAATTTGCCATTTAACATTTTTCTCTAACTCTTACAGTTTAGCCACAAAATGCAAAAAACCGTAAATTTGAACTTCAAAGCCATATAACAAATGAAATATTGAAGATAAAAATTCGACTCAATGGAACTCTTTGTAGTAAATTTTATACTTAAAACGGTCCATTAATTCATTTTTTTGAAAAATATTTTAGTCACAGTTTGCAGGACAAAAAAGTGTTAAAAATCATATTTTCCATACAATTTGTATGGGAAAACTTAAAATTCGATGGAGCACATCTTAGAATTGGAATTTTGAGCTCCGCTTTTAACAGGAGCTTTGTTTGGACATTTTCTGAGATATTTTAGGGTGAGAGCGAAGAAAAAAAAATATCGTCATTTTTTGGCATATTTCACCCCCTCATAGGATGAATTTCGATAAAATGCGTAAACAGGTATTTATTTAATTTTATTGAAGAGCATTAATACCAAGTTTCAAGTAATTCTGATTATAAATATTTTTTGGATTGTATTATAACGTGTTTTCCGGAGGGAATTTGATACTCTCCCGCGATAAAAAGTAGCCTATGTCACTCTCCAGGCCTCCAGCTATCTCCACTCAAAAAATCATGGCAATCCGTCACTCCGTTTCGACCTGAAAAAAGGACAAACAAACAAATAAACTTTCACATTTATAATATTAGTATGGAGTATGTATATTAGTAATTAGTATAAAAATTAGATGGGGACTTTGTGGGGGCACACCGCCTTTGGTTTAATGTGAAACATCCATTTCAGCGAGTCGCTCTAGTGTTTTAGCTTTTAATAAATATTTTACATATTTGAAAACAAACATACAAACTAGTAAATATACCTAGTAATCTTTGAAGATAGCAACGGAAATAATATTATGTATACATACAAGCATTGCCCGCGGCTTCGCCCGCGTTCAGATGACCAAAAACCAAATTCTTTTGTTTTACATATTAGTATACTCTTACAATGCAGTTTTTTTTATTTTTTCTCGGAAATGAGATATTTTCCCGCGATAAAAAGTATCCTATATGTTGACCCGGATAACCAGCTATCATCATACCAAATTTCATTAAAATCTGTCCAGTGGGTTTCTCGTGATGCGGTAACAGACAGACAGACAAAAATTAGAATTTTTGTATATCTCTATCTATTATAATGTCTATTTCAATTAGGTTTTCCAAAAAATATTTAATGTACAGATTCGACATAGTTACAATTTTATTATATGTATAGATAATTTTTCAATCAATAACAACGGTTACTATGGCAACTAAATTTCATTAAGGTCCACTTTTCTGACCTGGTACCTGTATGTTACGGTGGGATTTTAGACATGTTCCACGTCAAATGTACATGTCTAAGGTAAAATGATAGTAGCATTAAATTTTATTTACAGGTTATTTGTTAAAAAAATTTGGTCATAGCCAAATAATGTCAGCTGTCCTTTTTGGTTTTGGAATACGCTTTATCCTTTATTCTCACATTATAAGCGCCTGGTGGATCCTGCCTGTTGAATTGTTCCAAGGATTAACTTCAGGGATGTTTTATCCAACCATAACATCGTATGCAAATATCGTTTCTGCACCCGGTACCGAAACAACTGTGCAGGTATGGTGTTGAATTATTAGCTTGGTTTGTTTGGAAATCATTTTGTTGTTATTGACCTATACTATAGAAAGCCCTGGCTGTAACCAGCCTTGGACTAACACATTACTTAATTATTTTTTTATACAGTCAAATATTTCATATATGTAGTCAAATTGATATTATTTTCATTGATCACTAAAGTTTCATCGCAATCAGATGAGTGAAAAAAGAACAAATACGACACAAAAATATATACAGACATATGTGCATACAAATATTGTTGTGTATTACTTATTCTATATTAATAGATACTTGTATTTTATAGGGTCTGGTCGGTGCAATATTTGAAGGCGTGGGTTCCTCTCTTGGGAGTTTCATTGGGGGTCGTCTGTATGGAGTTTACGGGGGGTGGATAACCTTCCGTTACTTCGGCTATGGCGCTCTAGTCGCTGGCGTTATTCATGCTGTGGCTACGGCGTTCGTCAAGAAAGGAACTCACATGGGATTGACACCAGGTAATAATAGGGGTTAAAGTATGAAATTGCCGTTTTATTGTAATAGGTACTTGGAATTGACATAGAACCTTCATGGTTTAAGATTTTTGAGTGAAACTTTTTTCATATGGTACCTATGTAGTTCTCTTCTCTGCAGAAAGAAACACGTGTTGAAACTTTTTTTGCCTTGTTGAATCGATACAGAAATGAAGGAATATTGGATCGAATTGTGACATGTGATGAAAAGTGGATTCTTTATGATAACTGTAAGTGAAAAATGCAATGGCTGACCCCAGGTCAGGTAAAAAGGTAATGGTAACTGTTTGGTGGTCTCAGCATAGTGTTATTCACTATAGCTTTCTCCAATCTGGTCAAGCAATAATGGCAGATAGTAGACACTTTGCCGAATTCCGAACAATGATAGCAAAACTAGCAGTGAATCATCCCCGACTCATGAATCGATCTTCACCATTATTGCTCCATGATAACGCAAGACCTCATACAGCACGAGAAACCGTTTTAACTCAACAGGAACTGCAATTAAAAACCATTCGTCACCCTCCGTCTCGTCTCGTATCGCCAGACCTTGACCCAACGGACTACCATTTTTTTCGTGATTTGGACAATTTTCTATGTAATAAAAAGTTTTCTTCTCAGGAGGCAGTACAAAATGCTTTCACACATTTCGTCGAATCTAGATCACCAGTGTTCTATCGCAAAGGCATAAATGACCTTCCTATTAGATGGCAGCAATGTATAGATAATAATGTTAATTGATTAAATAAATATGTTAAATTCAAAAAAGAACGACTTTCAATTTTTCAGTACAAATCGGCAATTTCATACTTTAACACCTATTAAAAACTTAGAATGATGCCTAATAAATGTTTTATCTTCTATATATACTGTATTATACGGACTATTGCTATTTTATAAACTATATTGGTGTTGTAGTAAAATCTATTAGATTTGATATCTTTTCATTTTATTTATATATGTGGCAGTTCGGTTAGAAACCATTTAGAATATAGTCTGATAATCTGCATTTGGTCAATTAATGTATTGATGTGTGTATGTTACAGTGTTTATGTCGATCTGTCGATGTTTTTTAAGTGTTTATTTGATGTAAATATTGTTTGAAATATCTTATCGCTGGTCATAAATTGATATTAAATTAAGGTATTTTTTTTAATTATTTTTATTTATTTAAAGTGAGTATATAAAATAATAATCAGATTTTAAATAATGATAATATTATTATAATAATAAAGGTAATTTAAAAGTATCTCTTTAGATTTACAAAAGAATGGATTATTTTTTACTATATTATTCTTTAATTTTGTGATTAAACTAAAGCTTAAACAACTAACTAATCATTAAATTAATACTTTTATTATTATAATTTATTTGTGTATATGGATATCTGTTATTGGGTCCAAAAATATATGTAGTTGACTGTTTGAATGTTACTTATATTTATGTTATATTTTTACAAAAAAAAACATTAGTTTTCTATTTTAATTTATTATATTCTTTTTTATGTATTAAGTTTAAAGTATGTGAAAAAACACCTTGTGTAGATATTTTTATGTACATTTTACTGTACAAGCTCGAAATACGAAGATTTAAAGACGTAAGATTTGCTTAACACGTTTAAGAGTTTGCTTAACACGTTGGTTTAGAATCGTTTATTTAATAATTCTATAACGTGCAGCTGAAATTCTGTGTTTCTAAGATAAAATCGATAGATACGAGAATAATACATTCTCTATGCATGTTACAGTTAAAATTCGTTTTTAGTTAAAACGTGTTTTCTCTAGTTAAAAATGATTTTTACTAAATGATTTTGTTACAACTAGAATTTACTGTTTAAAAATTATTATCAGTTAAAACTAGTTCTAACTAGATAACAGGTGTTTTAAGAATGTGTTTTGATTGAAAAAAATATTTAAATAGTTACTTGTCCCAAAACTAAGAGAAATGAGCTTGGAAGTTTTGGGTTTAAAATAAAAAAACCTAACGAGAAGGCGTTAGCTTAATCAATCTACGTTATCCAAGTCGGGCCTGTCACATAATCGAAAATTGAAACTTACAAATAAATAAGAATGAGGTATGTAAGTGGAGCCAACTTCCACCTTAGGCCCCCTATTGTAAACCTCACCTGCTCGTGGTACATTCTGCTGAATAACGGATGAGACTCTGGCGACCGAATTCGTGGCGGTATAACCACATTGTGGGCAGCAGCGCCACCAGTGAAATATTCCAGCAACTGCGGTCACCAACCCGTCTGCCAAGCGTGGTGACTAAGGCAAATACCCCCTAATGAGAGACAACTCAGATCTATGGGCCCCAGTTCCCGGTAGTCGCACTATTCCTGGCCACGGTAGTGGCCATGGTAACGGTGCGACAGGGGGTGCTAAGAATCCCCGGGTTACGGCAGGGTACCACAAATGACTGCATTTGGCTACGTTCAATGGACGCACTTTAAGGCTGAATGAACACCTTGCCGAACTGGCAGAAGAGTTAAGTCATATTAACTGGCAATAGTGAGTCTATCGGAAATCCGAAGACAGGGCGAGGAGACGATAGTACTAGATGCTGGTCACTTACTCTTCTTCCGAGAAGGACACCAACCATCCCAAGGTGGTGTCGGATTTTTGATCCATAAGTCACTCAAGAACAACGTCGTAGAGGTTGGCAGTGTGTCGACGAGAGTAGCGTACCTTGTAATCAAAATAACCGAAAGATACTCCTTATACAAGTGCACGCCCCTACGTCCACATACCCTGACGAAGAGGTCGAAGCCATGTTTGGTGGTTGTTGCGTGACGATAAAACACAAATAATAGAATATGTTACGTCACTGATGAAATTGTAATAATAAAGTCAACTCACACGTAGAAACAGTACACAAGGAACGTTTAGGGAAATACACTATAACACAAAGAGTTACAATACAAACATATTAAGTCCACATATAATATCTCACGAAAACGATTAAATTATATAAAACAAGTAAGTCGCATCAAAGGCAAAGCATCGACTGCTTGATAGTAAAAATGTTATTAGTGGTCGGTAGAAGCAAAACAAATTCCGATCCACTATATACTACCGGTTTCGCGAGGCTATGCTTGTCGATTTAATATAATAATAAATAATTATGTATACGTGTTGTATGTGTGTATGTAGGTAAATACGTAAATTAAATATTTAATAAAATATAAATATTATGAAATGTGAAGTTTAATATATAAATATGATAAATTAAATATATTATGTTATAAGTTACCTACATCACTCCCCTCCAGAGGCTCTACGGACGATAAAAATCAGGGAAGTGTACTCTGCGTCCCAAACGTGTTGTTTTCACGGGGCATTCCTTAACAGGAGAAATATTGTCCTGTCGGGGTGAGGATGATTCCGAGGACAGTATATAGGCCGGTTTGAGGTGGTCTATGGATACTGTCTCATCTTTATTTTCCACGCGTATAATAAAGGTTTTTGCACCTCTCTTGAGCACTTCGTATGGCCCAGTGTAAGCGGGCTGAAATGAGCCACGTAGCACTTCATCTCTGAGGTAAATCGTGCGTACCTAAAGGTGAGGCAACGTGTCTAGTTACCTTCGAGCGCTGGCAGGACAAACATGCCTTAGCCCATTCACGGCAGTTTTTCCGCATCAGTGGCCAGACGAAGCGTTGGGAAACGAGTTTGGCTGTGGCTTTGGCGTCAGGATGGCTGAGCGAGTGCAGGCAATTAAATACCTGCTGACGCAGTTGTTGGGGAACGAAAGGTCTGAGTGTCGGTGTACTGACGTCGCAGTACAAGACAGTACGACTCCCAGGTATGGTCGTTCTTGTTAGGCGAAGGGAAGAATCGCCTTTCAGCTGATCTGCCAGCTCTGGATCTGTGGCTTGTAGCTTGGCCATCACTTCAAGGTCGACGGGTACCTGCAGTTCATCAATGCGCGACAAAGTGTCGGCGACCAAGTTGTCTTTGCCGGCAATATGGACGATGTCGGTGGTGAACTGCGAGATGAAGTCAAGGTGTCTATACTGACGTGGCGAACAGTTACTTTTCCGTTCATGGAAAGCGTAACATGTACGAAGACATAGTAAAACCTATGTCTCGCACCAACACCTACTACACAGTTGTCATAGGTGACTTCAATGCCCAAGTGGGAGTACAAGAAGATGGCGAATCGAGGGTAGGGGCATTTGGCTATGGGCGAAGAAATTATCGTGGGCAAATGTTAGTAAACTTTCTTGAGGCTTAGGGGCTGTTTCTGATGAACTTATTTTTCCAGAAAAAGCCTCAAAGAAAGTGGACCAGGCAAAGCCCCGATAACACTACAAAGAACGAGATCGACTTCATTATATCCAACAAGCGTCACATATTCAGGGATGTCTCAGTGATTAACAGGGTTAAAACCGACAGTGACCGATTTAAAACAAGCGAATACCCGAAGTATTGAGGACGCTATAGAACTCAATAGGGGCTCGTAAGTCTTTGCGGAATCCCACACCTCTTGTTGTCACCTGACTAAGCTTAGAACTGCACAGGGTACAACCGTCACCTCAAAATCAGAGATTCTTGCTTAAGTCGAAAAATTTTATGGGGATCTTTACTCCTCACAAGCATTTCCACCTGAGTCCCACCACGCGGATGATCCACGTGCAACACTGGTACGCCACCAATCAGACAAGCTTCCCGAAATCGACGTGGGCGAGATTAGTATAGCTCTTGGACAACTAGGAAACAACAAAGCTCCAGGTGAAGACGGAATTACTGCCGAGCTTCTTAAAGCGGGAGTAACACCTGTTCTATCATAGCTCGCAAAACTCTTTAATTCTGTTCTTCACAATGGCATTACACCAGAGGAATGGAGCAGGGCTGTGGTGGTATTATTCTTTTAGAAGGGGGATAAAGCCCTTTTGAAGAATTACCGACCCATATCACTCCTGAGCCATGTGTTTAAATTGTTTTCAAGGGTTATCACGAACCGTCTCGCCCAAAAGTTCGATGACTTCCAACCCATC